GATGAATAACAACACGTTGCATTTCCTGTGACTACTTAATAATAAAAGCTTTTTTTTCAGGAATGTCGCCCCAACACCCAGTTTGCAATACAGCTAATACATGGGCCATAGGTGGGCCATAGGGATTACTCTTACTTACTAAGCCTATTTATACCAAGTAACTGATAAGTCCAACTGTTATGTAGCTAACCAACCAACAAAGCTAAGGTTAGGGTTACCTGACCTGTTTAGACTGAAGATATGAATAGAATACAGTCGATAATATCTGACATGACATTTGATTAAAATGCTCTGTAATGATGTCAAATTGAATGCATTTCAATAACATTTAGCAAAAATACACAATAGCATAGCTCAAATTACAAAAATGTAACATTTACAAAGGATTACAGCACGTAAGTTTAATATACCACTTGGCTATTATTTCTAGATGTAATGTTACAGTTACTAGCTTAGGGTAGTCAGTGTTAATGGTGCCACCCCAAGCAGTAAATGGTGCAACCCAATCCTGAGGCCGATTTCATGAGGTTATAGCCCATTGCTTGAAAGTAACTGATGGGCATCTTGTGACTGATTTTTGTGTATCCTCTATCGATCACTGAACAGAGAGCCCATCCATCCACAACACCCCTGCAGAGGTTAGTCGGAGCTGATTCAGACCCTGGAGCATGTAGGGATTCATTGTCTTGTTCAGGGACAATCCAGCAAGGTGGAAGCTGGAGTCTTGAACATTTGCCTTCTGGTTTAACGCAGAATGCCCTCTCTAGGCCACACATTACACCTTCACCTGAGGACTTGGACAAGTTGTCTCCACTATAGATTTTTCTACCCTCCTCCAGCATAGCTCCAGTGTTGGACTGAATCAAAACAAGAGTAGATAGACTTCTTATATAAGCCTGCTGGCAACAACAAAGTATGCTTATAAAGATCTCATTGCACTGCCAAATACAAATTTGGGGAAGTCACAAGACCGTATTTTAGACAGATTGGAATTCATTCTTTTTCTTATTAAAGCTAAATATTGTTATCAAGCAGTTGTGCACCAAATTATTAGACTGGTTTCAAGATAACAGGCTTGATTTATATTAGTAATATATTCAATCTTTTTTCAGCTAGTGTTGACAAGAAATAGTTGATTGCATGTTTGATGCACTGTTATTCAAAAACATCTATTATGAGAAAGCTTGACAGCTTATTTCAAGAATAAGTTCATGAACTATGCCAATTCACATTTTGTGGGTAAAGCATAAAAATAAAGAAAAGAGTATCCTGACTACCAAAAACTTCTATCACTCCCAAATAGATTGACAGGTCTTTTAATACAGGGTCTAACAGTGGACAACAACTGAATCCAAGTTATTAATGTTTGCTGATGCTGTTAAGGTTTGTTTACATCAATGTGAGGAAAATTCAAGCCATGTGAAGTGATGCAAAGACCTCTCTGTGGTGTTGTTTATAGAGCCTTAAAACTAAATGGTGCATTCTGCCAAGGTTGGTCTGAGTAACTGGAATAAATTATACATAAATAATATTTTTATACATGCTATTATTTTTAATAATGCTTAGTCAATAATAACACTCTAACATAACTGTCATTTGTTCAAATCAAATCTGTCCATGAGGCCAGTTTTTAACATGTTGTCTTGCTATTGTGCCGGTCTCTGTGCACAAGTCCCACAGCTTTTAACTCTGCTTTCAGCAGAAAATTCTCAGAGGCCTTTCTGACAACCTCTTCTAACACTACCCCTGAGCCTCAGTTCCACCCCAAAGAGGTTGTTCGCCATTTTAACACCTCTTCTTTGAGTATACATTCTTGATGCTGTTGCTACTTTTGAGGGCAAAACATAGAAAAAATATTACAAATGTACAATATAATGACTGTTCAATTTCTTTCAAATTAGGAGGAATTTGTACTGTTTGCCAAAATCTCATCACATGTTATGATCTCTAAATCGTCATCTCTGGTATGTTGTTGTTTGGGAATTTGCTGAAATGACTGCTTAAGATTTTTCTTGAGAGAACATTCTCATTCTTTAATTCTAGTTGAACCTTCAATCGATAAATCCCTTAATCAGAAAACAAGTCTCAAACAGTTGATCCTGTGAACTATGCCTGTCTCTTAAGTGCTTGTACAGTACTTTGGGCCAAATTGTATGAAATAATTTTAGGAATACAGAACACTAAGACTGAATGTGGCCTTAATTTAGCAGCAGATACAAGCACAATGCTCCATTTTCATTCTTTAAAAATGTTGTGGCCTTCAATCGTCCTTGTTCTTTGCTTCAGTCTGGGGCAGATGGGGCATGATGCTGCAACAATATTTTGGCTTTGGTTTTAAAAATACAACATTCCCAAATTCAGCCGCTCAGCCAGCAGCAGCCCTCTCCTGGTGGTCTCCTATTGTCCTCTCTGAGCTCTTTTCCCACATGGAGTCAATTTGGAGGGCAATCTCTAAGATGATTTGGCATTCTCAGGACAACATCCCCATGTTACAGTAAAAGACATATGCAGCCTGACTTTTTCCAAAATTAAACTCTCTTTTCACAGATTTGCGAAAAGTCATTAATTCATCCTTGTTTAGATTATGTAAACCCTTTTTCATCGGTCTAAGATGATATTACACCAACCATTGAGTCTTCAGACTGGTTGCATCTTAGCTTTAGAACTGATTTGGAAATCAAGGTGAAATGAAAAATTTAATTTTAACCCTTAAAGATTACATCCTCAGTTATCCCTATTTAACAAATAAAAAAATCAATTTCTTTGTATTTTTATATCAAACTCCAATAATTTTCTCTTCCCGTAAAACAAAATGTGTGGCCTTCTGTCGGAGTGGAGTTGGAGTGTTTCTGGGGTGCCGGACCTCACTGATTTTTGTATAAGAACACACTGTTATCACATCAAACTCACAACTTTATTCGTAACTTGGGTGAAACTGAATCATTTTTAATGGAGGAAATATTGTCTGGTTCTCCCTCTGTTGTCCTCCTAATTGCTGCTGTAGCTACTGCTGGCAATAAAAACACCTCAGTACTTTCTTCCTTGTTGTCAAACTTTCCTCCATTGACATTGGATGCTGCATTCAGTCCCGGTCTGGATGTGCTTTCCACTGGTAGCTCTCAGTCCTGGCAGAGTCAGCTAATAGGACCGCTATAGCTGCTGGACCTGGGGGACGTAACACATAGCACTATTGGCTACCGCAACAAGTCCCTCCCTAACTGCTTTTTTTTTTTACAGGAAATATGTACTAAATGTGCAGAAGTAAACAGCTCTCTGATTTCCATTTCACCTAGATTTTAAAAATATAATAATCGGTTTTAAGGATAAGCCAAAAAGTATGTGTCTGTGGAGCCTATTTACATAAAAAAAAAAAAAAAAGATATGTGCAATTGTTTTGACACTGTCTTTTTAATTGTTGTCTTGCTTTTGATATTAGCAGTATAGTGATTATTAAATGTAGAGTGGCTGCAGTAGCTGCCTCGTTCGCGAGGCACAATATCAAACTCTACCCTTCCATATTGTTGAATTAATCATTTCTATGAACAATTGAATTTTGGAGATATAGCAGTTTCACTTTGCAGCTTGGCGGGAAAGTGAGAACTGCTGAATCCTCATAAGCACACAAGGACATTAGTACCCTGGAGCCTTGCCTGGGTGGGTCTGTCTGTTAGCAGTTAGCAGTGTCCCCAGCCAGCCTTTAGCTCCAAGGGCGGTCTCTACACCGATATCACTGGGCCAAGTAAGCAAGAACCTGCTCCCAGATGCTTGAGTGGATGAATAATGACACTGTAACACAGCTTCTCTCCCTCTCTCTGATAATGAGGAACAGAAGAGCAGACCCTCCCCGAGGCACAGCACCTGGACTGGACTGCCTTCCTGTCTACCTCAACCTCTATGATTCTCAGGAGATAGGCAGGCAAGAGTGAGACTTTGGCCATATGCCAGACTCTCTGTCTCAGTTACACTCAATCACACTCAGTTTGGTTTAATTGTAAATTATGAAACATCTTATAAAGTTACTGGACCATGTTTGAGCTCATCAGACCCCTAAAAATGTTTACAAAAACAATTTTTGAGCATTTTTGTGTCAGGCAGCTTTAAATATATGCTGCCCAGCTTCCCCCCTCCACAACTATTTCTCTCTCTTTTCCTCTACTTCTCACTTCTTTCCCTGCAGAGAAGCTTTGCCAAGTGGAGTCAATTAAAACTGTACATCTAAGTGAGAAATGTCTGTTTGAATGTGCGTGTAGGTGCGTATGGTTTCATAACTGCGCTGTGTGCTTCTTTGTGTAAATGTGTGAATTTGTGGTATTTTCAAATGTATGTGTGTGAATGTGTGTCTGTGTATTTGGGTGTGCAAATGTGAGTGTAGAGGCGGGGGCTCCCCTGGGGCCTGGCAGTATGGCGCTGTAGTGCTGCAGACTTCTCTTGTGAAAACGCCTCCAATGGGACTGGGACAGCTGTGGCCAACCTATACCGCTTCATGGGCCATAACAAGCCTTATGACACACACACACACAAACACATATATACACACACACACACACATACACATTACCTATTACTCCAATCCTGGCAACTCTGTCTGGCTGTCTATCCTTGTTTTGTCTGTCTGTCAGGAACTATCTCTTTCTGTGTGTGTGTGTGTGTGTGTGTGTGTGTGTGTCTCTCTCTCTCGCTCACTCTCTCTCACATACACATACACAGAAACAATTCTCTCTCTCTCTTTCTCATGCAGTCTCTAGCACAAGCGATGCTTCACAACATATGTGAAGGTAAATTTTTTTTCTCCCCTTTTTTTCATTCATACGGCCCACTCTTTCTGCCTCCCACGCAGCAACTTGGTGTCCTGGTCAAGCACGACTGCCAAGAGGGGTTGTCTGCATGTGTGAAAGAAGTTACGTTTTAATTCTAAGGAAGAGGTCACTTCGTTGTATTTTCATGAAAAACAAATCTATCTTTATGGTTATATCCACACAAATGCAACAACAGAGACAGTCTTTCTTTTAATTTCATTTATTTAACAGTCACCAGATGATGAGATACATTCTCTTAAAAAAGAAATAGACAACAAAACTGTTATTATTATTTTGAGATTTTAAAAACTATTATACAATATTCTTAATATATAGATTTTGTACAAAATAAAAGTCAGTAAAAGGGGCAAAGGGAGAGTGACATCTTAAAAAACAGAGAAAAAAAGAGGAAGGGGATAGGAGTTGACTCAAACAACTACCACATTTAGGAGCGACAAAGACCAATCTCTTTCATAAATAAATATATGAAAATTAGACATCATATATAGCTCTCTTTCCAATAGCAGGACATTGCTAAATGTCTGTAGCATAGGTTATAGCGTAACTGCTTTGTGAGGCCCATTTGCCCAAAATTCCACGCATTTTCCACACGGAAATTAACTGGAACCAGCGCAGCTAAAGGCCCTGAAATAAAGGTATTTACCTCAATAATGGGTCTGATAGTCTGTGCCATGCTTGACCTTTGGCTGTAATAATAACCCCAACCCCACCCGTACCCCCTCTCATTTCCTTTGTGTGAACTTGGTACAGACCAAGCACAGAGAGTCTCATTGAGGGAACTAGAGAATAGGGTTGTCCTCTTTTTTTCTCTCCCAAGGCCAGTGAGAAACAAGCTTCAGACTCCCCCACTCACAAACACAGAGACAGTTGAGCAGAGCACATGTGGGAGGGATGCACAGTATTGGAGCACAGGAAGGTCATACTGCACAGCCAACATCATTTTACCATTGAATACCATCCTTACACTATGGATATTTCAGCGCTGTCCTCCTTGGTCCTTAGAATTTCAACAATACAACAACAACTACAAGACAACAGAATAAACACACAAAAGGTGGATGTGGATGGCTCTGGGGCATTACAACCCTGTTTGACATAGACTCATGCCAATCAGATTGGCTGATTGTTTTCTCCTTAAATCACTCCCTTTGCACCTGTTTGAGTATTTGAAGCTCAGGGCATAAGCACTGAAAACATGGGAACAGTGGGACACAAAATACAGATAATGGAGATGATTTACAATACAAATACACTACCTGTTTTCAGACATACACACCCAAAAAGCATGGAAACTGAGGCTGATGATTGATCCCACTGCAACAACAGACTTTTGTTCTATCTTTGTCTCCATTTTTTGTACCCTCTGTGAGCAGGCAAGAGGACAGTGACATTGGCCCTTCTCAGAGCAGGACAGCAGGCAGAGTGACTTGGCGTTAATCACAGTTTTGTCTCGCTTTCTTGGCACATTAAGTTGGAGAGGCGAGCAGCGGCCCGGGCGGTCGGGGTGAGAGATGGGAGGACAACGCGTTAGATTCTCAATAATGACGCATCGGCACCGCATCACTTTGGAGATTAAAAGCAAGATGCTGAATTTCAATCAAGCCACATTAATGGCTTGGTGTGAGGAATGGTCACTTTGTCTCCACTGGCAGGCAGAGAGAGAGAGACTTAGAGAAGGAGAGAGAGAGAGAAACTGGCACGAGAACCCCAGGTGAGACAAGGTGATACGGCATTTTAATTCAACAAATTGCTTGCTAGCCAGTAATGATAGAATCCATTTAACGATGTAGTGACAATTTTCTCTAACCAAAGGCAAAAGGGCATTAACAAAATGTTATATCCAAGAGAAAAGCCAAAGTGCCAAGGACTTAATGCATGAAGCTGTAAACAACAGGACTGATGAAAGATAATTAATTGGCTCTGATGAGCATGTGAATGTCATTATCATTGAAATGTTAAACTGGTTTCAGATCAGCATTTTATTTAAATGTATTTTATAAATACATTCAAACCAGTGTCAAATCAGTTAAATTTAATGGTATTGTATTAATTTATATTTTAAATCTGGTAAGGTGAGTGATAAGAAACAGATGATGTCTAAGGTTTTGAATATGAAAACTTAAGGAAGTAATCACTAAGCAACTGAGGATTTTCTTCAAAAACAATTACTGTCCCCACCACTGACAATGACAGCATATAAGAAAATGAGTCTAATTTTACCAAGATCTTACACTTTATCAACAGAACTTGTGATTTCCTCATTTGTTGCCATAAAGTACTGCAGTCACCTTACAAAACATGCCAAGCTCTGCCTGAGCTGCTCTGTGAACACATTGCACTGCAAGATGTGACCCACTTGCAATAAAGTGCATTGAGAGTTCAGTTCTCATGGTAGATGAGAAGCGATGTTGGGCAAGCACAGCTGAGAGATTGTCATCACAGTATAGCTGATATGAAGAAAAACCTAATGTGACATGAACTAGATTTCTCGAGGGGAAAGGAAATCAAAAGAGGATAGGGTGACAGAATAAGTGTCAAGACAAGAAAGAGAGATGGGAGTGTTGGTCCTATAGGCTCTGTGTGAAGTCAGGAATGTCACAGTTGAGCACAGTGCTTCATGGGTAGGGTAGTTCTTTCAGAGGAGGATGTGTTGTCCTAGACTTCAGCCAGGCACCCAGCTCTGGTTGCTATGGGCTTGCTGTGGACCGGCCAGACCGCTCATTCCCATCCCCATACCCATGGTCACACCCATGCCCATACCCATGCCAATGCCCACCCCTTGGGCTAGGGAGCAGTCAAAGTTAAAGTCCATTTCCTCCCCAGAGTCCATAATGTCATGGAGGAGGATGGACTCCACATCGCAGTCCAAGCTACCGTGGAACATGTCAATGTCCAGGTCAGCAGGTAGTCTCTCATGGGGGTGAGGTTGGTGATAGCCATGGTAGTTGCTACCAACACTACCATTCCCCATCCCCTGGCCATGGTGGTATGGTCCGTTAGTCATGCCTTGGTGTTGTGGGTCAGGATAATGGTTATGACGGGGGTGTGGGTGTGGGGCAGTGGCCACATGGCAGGAGTCCTGGGGCATGCCAAGCATACCTGCTGGGTTTGGGGGAAGGGTGGTGGAGGCTGGGAGGTGGGCATGTGATGGGGGGCTGTATAGATAGGGAGCTTTGTGGTTGTATGTGTGCAGCTGATTGCTGTTGCCACGTGGGGTCAGGGCCGCAGCCCGGGGCGGTGTGTGGTTATGGCTCTGGCTGAGGTTGTGACCGTTGTGAGCGAGGCTGTGAGGTGAGTTGTGGTTGTGGTTGGTTACATTGTTGTGAGTATGAGTATGGCTATGAGTTCTGTTATGGCTATGAGCTGAGCTGTGACTATGAGGTCCATTGTGGCTGTGGCCATTGTGGTGGCCGGGGTGGTGGCTGTGATGGTTGGAGCCAACTCCATTACTAGCTTGACCCATCATAGGATGGCTTTCCCTCTCCTGTCCCAGCATCATGTCCTTGGAACAGTATTGTTGCCCAGCTGGACCACCTGTAAGCAGGCTCTGCAGGGCATTGGTGCTGGAGTATGCCCGCATGGTTCCAGAGAAACTGGCTGGCTTGTTCTCCTGAATGGTCTGCATGGGTGAATGGTGGCACAGCATCCCCATGCCTGTTGCACCATAGACGCCTGCACCATAGGGACTCTGTCCCTTCACTCCAGAACTGTAGTGGTAGACAGGGGTTTGGTGCTTATGTCTGCCAACAGCCGGATGCTGCTGGTGTTGCTGCTGTGGTGGGTGATGGTGATGATAACTGTCCTCCATCAGCTGTTCATCCAGACTGATGGCACCTGTCAGGTTAGCCAGCTGAGGCAGCTGCTCCAAGGGAGGACAGCGATTCCCTGCCCCCATAGATGGAGAGCGGGCACTGGTCGGAGAGGGGTAGAGGTGGGGAGAGGTGGAACAGGACAGACCACCCTCCTCTGGTTCCTCTGGCTCTCCCTCTGCGAGGATGGGTGACAGGCGTCCACTCAGGGTAGAGGCTGACGAACTAGCCCTGGAATGGAGATCTGTCCAAGCGTCAAACTCTCCATCTGTCCCAGATGCACCTCCAGATCCTGGGAGGCCTTTCCGTGGTGGGCTGCCATGGTCGGGGGAGCCCTGGAGCCCCACCACAGCAGAAGCTGCTCCTATCCCAGGACGGCCAACCCTCTTGCCTCTGATGCGGCCTTTGCTTTTTAAGTATTTGGTGCTGTTGTCCATGGAGACTGCTCGCCGGCGGGGGGCCTTGCCCATCTTCCCTCCATCTGGGTTCAGCATCCACCAAGAACTCTTCCCTGTTCCCTCATTCTGCACCCTGATAAAACGTGTGTGGAGGGATAGGTTATGTCGGATGGAGTTCTGTGGAGAGATGAGAGAGACACTTTATATTAGTAAAATCTTCCAGAGGAAAGTAAGATTTTTTTGACATCAAACATAAAAATCAACAATGCAGAGAAGCCTAATCAAAACCAGCTGTCACAACTGCTTATAAATCATTAGGTCTATACATGCTGAGTCATAGAAAGAATTTGCCAAATTATGAGGTCGCTTCCATTTCTATTATTAGACAAAACACACAGAGGTAGATACACAACCCTCCATGCAATCAGTGTCAACTCAAGTCAGAAAATTCATATTCAAAAACACAAACATGTTCGAAGGACAGCTACAGCTGGCACGGAGCAAGACCCTGTCAGCCTCAACCACCCTGAAACGACCTAAGACTTGAGACACTCTCCTTACGTACGTCAATCCTCCCACTTGCATTTCCATCAATCCATCTGTCCTCCTCTACTTCTCCTTTCAGCCAGGCTGATGTAAGCTGCTGTGGTTGGGCGTACTGTATGTTTGAAGTCGGTGCCAGTCTGGCTTAGTGCCAGCCCTGTCTCTTTCGCTCTCGTAGCTTGAATGTGGGAATGTATCGCAAGACTGAGCCGGGAGCAAGGAAGGCTAATGGATGTATCCCACCCTCCGATATCTACCTTCACTGCCTATCTCCCTTTCCCTCCCTTGTTCTGTCTTTATCACCATCCCTCTTTCTCTTTTGTCACTGAGTACTACATTTTCTGACTTGATTTTCCTTTTTCTTATTTCACACACTTCTCTGCACACAACAGTCATTTTCCACTTCTGCTTTCAATCTCCATGCCTTCAATTATACAGTGTGTCACAAATTACTTTCCCATTATCCTCGACACCGGCATGTACAGTCACTGACTCAGTAATTCATAGGATATAGTTTTAAACTGTTTATTATCATTTACATCTTAAGGGCTGCTGGATGCTGAAGGTCCCTGATGTGCAACAGAGTCTGTCATTGCAATTCTGCTCTTTGTTGTGCGTGAGGCATTTTGACGCTCAAGCAGGAAAATATCAAATCAAAAGCACCTCCTGTGGTTTAGGAATATACTGGTACAATAGATTGTTTCAGATTGAGGGGTACTCACACTTCCACCATCTCCATTATGTTGCAGATTATTTGTATGCACACTGAATTGCACGGCAGGGAAACAAATAAATCAAATTGCGGCAGAGAACAGATAAATGGGAGGCGAACTGAATTCAGGTGATCTGTGAATGCCTCCTTGGGTTATCTCGCTGTGACACCTCCGGCATTGGGTAACCATGGCAACCGAGTAAACGTGCAACGGCAGAACTATATCATATTGTGGTGAGAGTCAAGAGAGTGAGAGGGAGAGATGGAGGGAGAGTGGGGGATGGGGGAAAGGATGCTAGAGGAGGCAGTTGTTTGATGCTGCTGCTCCAACACTAAACAGCCTTTCATCTCGGCAGTGCAGGTCCGCAGGGGATGCCCGCTCCCTGCTTCTGACGGCTTCTCTACGTGCCGCGCCAACTCCCTGTCTCACCCTGGCTGGATCATCCACCTATCATACCACTCCAAATCATCTCCATCAAGTCCTGTGCATGCCTGAATTAAAACATATGTAAGCTTTCATGCCATTCCACCACGGCCGGTTGAAAATGGGGCATCTTTCAGAGAGCTGAACCACTTCATGCTGCAACTCTGTGTGACCTGTCTGATTCAAATCGCGATTTATCCCTGTATGAGGGAAGAGCAGCCCCATTGAACTTGGAGGGATTTGTCATCATCCCAAACCCTCTTTATCTGATGAATCCACCTGCTAGAGAGATTTGAGAGATTTCGGACAGTGGCCAGCCATGGCATCATGATCATCATCATCACTAGCTGCTTGCTTCCTGTCGTGTAGTTTTCCACCACATGTTTTTCTCTGTCATCCTGTTTGTGTGTGCGTTTTAGAATCTAAGAATAGCTTAGGTTGCAGGTGGTTCCACTGTGGGTGTGGTTCTGTCCGCCTCCTGTTCCCTGAGTCTGAGTCAGGGGCAATTTGGCCAGCCTATGGCCCTCACGCCCCCAAAACAAGCAGTCACTGGTAATCCCCCTCCATCCCCGAGTAATCCCAGACAATCCTGGGCTAATCCCAAGTTGATTCAGGGGCACTCCCAGCTGGGTGTCTCACACAGAGCCATGCCAGGTCACCACGGACACAGCGGGCAGCCCAGATATGCTATGATCCAATAGTAATACAGCATAAAGAAGGTTTGAGATGTGTGAAATAGGGACAATGTAAAACCCTTATAGGATGTAGTGTTAAACTATTCCTCATGTTTGTATGTGTGCATTTTAGTGGATGATTTCTGAGGCAGTGAGCTGATGTTAACCGTATGCCTCCATTGAATCAACTACCTTTACACTGTGTTCTGTCCTTGAGGGTTGGCTTTGCCACATTTTTACCCCTACGGGTTGAATAGAATAAAATTGAAAACTTTATTATGTATTAAATATTCATAAAATGGAAATTCTCTTTCAGCCCCCTGGCTTGCTGAGGCAGACGGATGAAGCCCACAGAAACATACAATGACAGAGAGGAACACACACATCACACGCCTGGGTCCAGGAAGCTGCTTCCTATTCAAATCATACCCCTTTAATACAATGGGCCTAGTGGAGAGGGCTCTAAATAATGAATGAACCAGTGGCTGGGCCTATACAGAGAGATGCACTGCCTTGTCCCATAATACTGAAAAGAACAGACAGAGTCATAAGTAGTTGTCTGACTTCTTTGTTTCGCTATCAGGGACTTCCATACTCATCAGTCTCCAAATACAACTAAATCAGGCTGAAAGGGGTTAATCTGGCCATAAAGTAAAAGAAGATAAGGGTAATAGTTTATGGACCAGTCAAAGCCAATTAAGGTGAACAAAGTTGTCTTAGTTGCAAGAAATAAGCTTGGGTTCAACTCTCATTAAGGCCTAAAAATCCTGATAGCTGATTTAGATATTTAGACAATAGATAACAAGCCGCTGCATAGTCTTCCTTGTCCTCACATTAAAAGCTTAGGCCCTTTTCTAACAAATCTGACATGTTGACACTTCTTTTGACAACACACAGGTGAACTAAGCAGTAAAAGGTTTTTTACTGGCTCAAGGAAGGAACTGAGTTCAAACCAAACAGACAGATATTTCTTGTGTGAATCTGTTCTTTAAGATTAATGCTCAATATTTGTTGATTAGCAGAAACAGGTTCCTGGTATTCATCCATAATAACTTCTTTAAGAACCATTCATTTGGCTCTTGGAAATCTTACGATGTAAATCAATTGTTTTCCCTCCCTTCTTCCATGCAAACACAGTTTGATTCAGGGACTGGAGAGGCCTATTTGGTGCTGGTAATCAATGAAGTTTAATGTCTTTCAATGCTGAGGCTTAGCAGACATCAAGGTCTGACTAACTACACCATCCACTTGTATTATGAGGCCAATATGGGTGCGCAATATACCGTATTCCCACTTTACGCACAACAATGTATAACTGCCACAGGCTTGTGAGTTTAGTGAGTGTGCCCACTTGCCCAAATTGGCTGGGTGCCCAATGAGTCCCTCTGTTGCCACTCCCAAGATGTCAGCCATGCATTAGCATTGGGAATAGATGTAGTATGTGGGTAGGGGTTGTTATGTTGGGCCTGATGGTTCATCTGGGATAACCTGACTGACTGGCATGGGGGCAGCTGTGCTGGAAGGGTACAGCAGGAGGTCGAGGGGCTTGGGGGTTAGGGGTGGGAATATAGAGGTACCACAAGGGGCCCCTTCAAGCCACACAAAGGGGTGCCCTCAAAATGCCCCCCACTCATCCCATCCCCCTCCATTAGGCCTCCATCAGAACCCACTCAGGATTTTTCCCGCTCACACACCCACACACATGGTCGCACACAGAGGGGCGAGGAAACAGGTCAAACAGTTTATAAGACCCATCTTGTGGCGAATGTGCACTCATTCAAACAGAACTGAGTGAGGAACTAAGGAGTGTGAGTGGGGTCTGGGAACCAGCAAAAAGAAACCACTCACCCGATTCAAACAACCTCAAGGGTGAAGCAGTGTGGTGCGCTTGCCCAGCTAAGAACACAGCAGCTGTTCTTGTAGTGGCACCGGGTAAAGCCGTTTGCCACACTCGACTGGTATTACCAAACCATTTCATGCAGAATGGAGCCATTATGTATTGTCAAAGGGTACCCCTCTATGGTGCACATTCATTTGATAAGCCTAAATCAAGGGGGAGTAACAGAAGCACTAACTGTGTTTATTGTGATGCTGTTTTTGCCTGTGCAGAAGGCAGGAGGGATCAGGGGGAGGGGAGGTTTCAACACAAGCAGTTTTGTTCAGCACAGGAATGAGTTTTGTCAGCTAAGCCTGTCTCCAGGCTATTGGTGGAAATTAGCGCCGGCTAAATATTCGCTTTCCATGATTGATGTCACGGCTCGCGTTGTCCCTTTGAAGGGAAATAAAGAATTTAGAGCCATGTGGATTAATAGGGACAGGGTAGGGGGAATTTTATGTGTCTGAGGGGGACTTGAAGAGGGACTGAAGGGCCTAATGGCTGCACAGATATGGCACAATGGAGCTGAGACGATATGGTGTATCAGAGAGTGAGAGAAGACAAGTGAGACTATGACAGTGAGTACAAGGAAGAAAATTGGAAATTGTTTGTGTGTGTATGTGTGTGAGAGAGACAGGGAGGGAGAGTGAGAGTGTGTGCGAGAGAGAAAGAGAGAGATGTAGCTATTTGCCTGAGAAGCCCGGAGTCAGATGATTAAAATCCCTTTAGGAGGCTTCTTTAAGAGAGACAGATGGGCAGACAGGCCTGTTTTTGGAATGCAATCAAATTGAAAAGATTAAAAAGGAGTCTCTTTTATTAGGAGGTGAGAAACAGTTACTTCTCTGCCACATGCCATCATCGCCTCCACAGCAGTGGTCACGACTGCATTGGCATGCAAGGCACATTACAGCCCTTGTTGGGGAAGAAATAAACCTGGGATTAGGAATT